AAAAGCGGTTTAGGGTTTAGGGTTTAGGGGTTTAGGGTTTAGGGTTTAGGGTTGGTTCAGGGTTTAGGGGTTTAGGGTTTAGGGTTGGCTTAGGGTTTAGGGGTTTAGGGTTTAGGGGTGCAGGGTTTAGGGGTTTAGGGTTGAGGGTCTCAGGACCTCACTTTGATGAACCGTAGAGGGGATTGATAGGACACTCCTTCTTTATGGCCAGCTTGGAGGTGCGCAAACGGGACATGGAAATAACAGAAATGCAGACAGAGCGGGAGAGGAAAGGAGGAATGGGAAAGAGGGTAGAGAGGGAGAGCGCTTGCAAACGCGAACTATCGGAGTCTCGAGCGAAAACAACACTCGCCTGGACAGGAGTAGGTGCGACACAACAGCCCTCGAATCGAGTAGCATGCACATACCCCAGAACAGTCTGTTAAGTCGTTCACTCGCAGTTTCTTGGCCTCAAGGTCCTCAGTGGTCTTCCTGGAAAAGGGGGTAGTGTTGGAGGCAGCTGCCTTTAAAGTCACACACAACCGTCGGAGGCACGCAAGTCCAAGTGGCTGCCCACGGCCTTGAAAACCACACTGTCGTCCATTTGGGCCAAATGCTCCCAGTTCACGTGCTCCGAGAGCTTCAGCTGCTGGCCGATGATTTGCAGGAAGCGCCGGCTGGGCTGGTTGTAGAGGCCTACCTTCCCCTCACCAGCTGCCACCACCAGGAAGGAGATCTCATCCTCCAAACCGGCCCAATCCAGCTGCTGTCGGGAGCTCGAGCCGGACACGGAGCCGCCAAGGCTGCCACTCAAGAAGCGCGTGGACTGCTGGTTCCAGAAGGAGACTGTGGAGCCCACCTTGAGCTGCGCATGACCCACGTTCTTGCCCCAGGCTAAGGCTGCAAAGGACACAAAGAGGGGCATCTCGTTCGCCTGCGCTCTTCTTAAGGAGTTGAAGCTATAAGTTACCATAATATGGGATCCATACGACATACTACATGGTGTCTTTGCTACTATTGTTATCCATTATTATGGTAACCTACCCATAGGCTCCCTTTTTGTGGTTCATATTGAGAATCCATAAGGTAATCCCAAAAAGGAGCTACTAAGGAGCCTATGGGTAAGCTCCTTAAGAAGAGCCCCAGTCGCTTCCATGGCTTCACCGGCCCAATGATCCGGGGCCAAGCATTTGTCGTCCCAAGAGCCTTCAGGACGACATGTACCCTAAAAGGGTTTAGGGATTGGGGTTTTGGGTTTCGGGTTTGGGGTTTAGGGTTTAAAAGGATTTAGGGCCGTTTAAGGTTCGGATACCATATAGGCAGTCATTCTATAGGGGGAAGCGGCCCTTGCTTTTAAGGATCATTTCGCTCCCCAAGGAGCGCAGAGTCTTTCCGTAGTGGGCCTCGAACCATTCCTGGGCTCTGGGCGGCTGTGGGCGACGGGGCCTTTCAAGTCTTACAAAAATGGATCCTCAAAAGGAAGGGTAGAGATAAAGTGTAAGGAAGATTCGAAGAACCATTCTTCGCTAAAGCCTCTGAAAACTGGTCGTAGATAAAGTATGCCCAATATGGGAAAAGTAGAGAAAACACCCTACAGGCCTAGATCCCCCCTATAAACCCTAAACCCTAAACCGAATACCCTAAACCCTAAACTCAAAACCCTAAACCGAATACCCTAAACCCTAAACTCAAAACCCTAAAAGCCCTAGACTCCTCCCCGCGCTGCACTCGGGAGTAGTCCAGGTAACTCGAGGGCTTCCGGGACGTGATCTGCACGCCGATCTGGCAGTTCAGGTCCTCGGTTTAGGGTGTACCCATAGGCTCCTTAGTAGTTCCTTTTTGGGATTTCCTTATAGGATTCTAAATATGAACCACAAAAAGGAACTATTTAGGAGCCTATGGGTAGGGTTTAGGGTTTAGGACGGTTTTTGGGTCTAGGGCGTAGGGTTTTTCTAAACGGGTTTAGGGTTTAGGGATCAGATACCATGTGGGAATTCATGGTAGAGGGGGAAAAAAAGGCCCTTACTTTTAAGGGTCATTCGGTCTTCAAGGGTCCACCATGGACATGCCACCGAACTCCGTGATCCAGTAGCCGTTCACACAACTCAAGCCCATCCCGCTGATCTGCACCTGGGAAGTTCTCTGCAATGGGGTTCCTTTTAGGGGTCCTTTTCATAAGGGTGCTGTACCATTTTGGATCTAGAGACGGACCCCGGTTTAGAGAACCATCCACCTCATGATGGAAGCTGTGGTAGAGGTCGGGATGGCAAGAGGCCCTTAGGGCGGTGCCGGCAGGGAAGCCTCGGCTCAACGGCTGACGCTCGGAGCGGTAGCTGCTGGGAGCAAAGCGACACGTGTCCTGGGATCTTTGTTTTGAAAACTTATCCCGAACTCCCCAGGTACCTACTATATAGGGTACTAGAGCCCCTAGGGCCCTATATAGTAGGTACCTGGGAGGTTATGTCTTAAAGTTACATTTCAAAGGACAAGATATTATGTACTGCAGGAGCCCAGTGTCACAGCTCTGCACGCCAGGAACCCCCAAGCGCTTCAGTCGGTGGCACTGCTTCAGCTGCTCCTCATAGAGGCACACCACTTCTGTCAATGAGGTCTGAACGCCGGTCAAGAAGAGCCTGCGTTTCTCCTCCCAGCACTCCTGGGGGACCAAATTTGTCCTCGAAAGTACGGGCCTTTTACCCCCGTACTATGAATTCCTATAGGGCTATCTGAGCCCTGAAAATTGCCTTTTTTTCGGGTAGATGTCGCTCTTAAGGGCTCCTCAGGATTGGCGATGACACAGGCCTCCTGGAAGCTTAGCCCGAACAGCTGGCCCTCGGAACCGACTTCCACCTGCAAGGAGTTGCAGGTCAGGTAGAGGCGGCAGAGAGAGACGCCTGCATACTCTCCGACCCAGAAGTACTCCAAATGCGCCTTCCTGCAGATGGGGGGCGGGGTAAACCAACGTTATAGGCTAGGATCCGAAAAGGGTAACCCAAAACAGGGAACTTCAAGAACTACCTGGGAGACTACAGGAGAAACCCTAAATCCTAAAGCTGCCCACAGGCTCCATAGTAGTTCTTTTTTGTGGCTCATGTTTAGGATCCTATAAGGTATCCCCCAAAAAAACGGAACTACTTTGGAGCCTATGGGTAAAGCCTAAACCCTAAATCCCTTAAACCCTATAAACCCTAAACCCCTAAACCCTACACCGCTAGAGCATAAAGCCTAAATCCCTAAACCCTCTCTAAACCTATAGACAACACCCCTTTCGCAGCCCGAGCAGCTTGGCCAGTACCTCGCAATCCTGCAGTCCCACGTCCTGGTCCGGGATTACCCAAAGGGTCCTATGTACATATATATATATGTATGTGTATATATATATATATATTAGTTATTAGAATGTAGGATTTCTATATTATAGGAATTACTATTATGATTTAGGGAAGTATCCCCCATAACAGTACATAGGACCCCTTGGGTTACGGTTTAGCAGTTTAGGGTGTCGGGTTTAAAGGTTCGCTGTTGACACGAAACATATTAGTAGTGTTGTTGTTGTTAAAATGCTTCTTTAACCGTCGTATTTTTAGTTTTGCCATTAATTCTATTTTTGGCATTGTGTATTGTTTATTTTTTTCATTACCCTTGTCATGAACGTGATTGTTGCTCTTGTCCGTCTCAGCCCGGTCCTTGTGGGAGCTGTGCAGCGCAGTGATCTCGCAAGTCACGGCTCCATGCACGAGCCGCTGGGGTGGGGGCACAAAGGCGTTCTCAGAACCCGGAGGCATAGACTCGAAGGCCTGGCTGGAAACAGGCCATGCGTCCCCATAGTTCCCAGCAAAGCACTCGCAAAAGCCCAGAGAGTAGTCGTTCGTCAACTCGGTGGTTAAGTCGTCGAAGTGGAAGATGCGCTTGGCGTCGTCGGGGTTGGGAAACCTTACGGCCGAAATGTACCCTAAAGGGGTGTAGGGTTCAGATACCACCTAGGAATTTTATAGTACAGCAGAAAGGATCATTTGGTCCCCAAGGAACTGCTCCGGCAAACCCTTGGCGGCACGGAACTCCTCTCGGTCTTGCAATGGAGATTTGCACTCGAAGACCCAGGGTTGGACCTCCACCACCTTGGGGACCAGATGAAAGTAAAAGTAAGGGCCTTTTTCCTTAGGGTAGATTTTGTCCTTAAGGCGCCTTCGAAGTGTTCTGTGGCCGCGACTCGTCGCGTGACGAGTAGCTGCCAGCAACATAGCCGTCTTCATCGAAAGCCTTTTCCACTACATCCTGGGTTCTTATTTAGGAACTTAACTTTGTCGAGCTACCATACAAGATAGAATCTACTGTGGTGGTTTAAGTTTTAACAACAACAGTTCTTATACTACCATGAATGATTGGTTGTAGTTTTGGGCCGCTTAAAAGTTTTATGAATAGGTACCTGTATAAGAACCACAAGGGGAATCTTAAAGGGTGCCACCTAGTAAATTACCTATAGTCTCCATTGTAGTTCCTTTTTGGGCTTACCTTTAGGATCCTTCATATAGAATTGGTTAAACCAAAAAAAGACTACAAATGGAGACTATAGGTAGATTCTCTAACGAGAGCCAAGCATCCTCAGAAAAGCACCACAAGATCGGACCCCGTAGCTCCAGGCTCTCCTCGCTCACATAGTCCTCCGCAGACTTTCGCCGAATCACCCAGGCGTCCCGGGACCTGTTGAGGGCTTCATGTAGGGTCCTTAATAATTAGAATAGGGTGTATGGGCATATTATACTATATATTTTGATTATTAATAAAATAAGGATCCCCCCAAATAATATAGGTAACTATTAAGGCCCCTATATTAGAGGGTTTAGGGTTTCGGGCTCGGGGCTTAGCGTTCAGGAGGTGCCCCATGGAATCCCGAGTCCGAGGGGCGCATCGCCGCACTGCTGGGGAGTGGCCTCCGAGCGGTGGTCGAACTTGTGAAGGTACCTGGTACCGTGTTGGGGCCATATTAAAAACGACCAATTTCAATGCGTATTAGGGTTTCATTATAACACAAATTGTATCCAACAAGGACCCAGGTACAGAGTGGAAGCGTCCGTGGCGCCGTCCTTGCTGTAAACTGGCAGCTGCATGTGGTTCTCCACCGGGCAGAACTGGCCCGAAAGGTATGCCTCGCCCGGAACCGCGATCATCAAGCACTGCTTCAAAGGGTCACAGTCCGTAACCTTCACGTGAACGGAAGTGAGGTTTGAGGCAGAGGGCCGCCCCGCATGCACCGCTTTGTAGCAGTTGCCTGCAAGGTCTACGCCCGCAGCTGCACACGTCTTGTCCGCGCCGCACAGGCCACGGCAGCGCGCAACGGTCGCGTTAGAGGCATTAGCATCCAACGTTTGATTCGACAGTATCTTCAGAGCAGGGAGCGGAGCGAAGTAGTCCTGTTTGAAGCGCTCTTCAAAACCCTTACGGTGACGGATAGTGAACTTCTAAAATATTTAAAATGAATTACAGGCCCTGTCCAGCTGGCCCCTCGTCCAGCATGTGTTGTCCATGACTGACACCCGGAAATCGGCCCGCAGAAGCTTTTTGCTGAAGGGGAGCACGGCATAGGCACGACAAGCCAGGCGAATCTGGCACCGGGACTGCGACGCGTGGCAGTGCTTCAGCAACGCCGCCGACGGCTCGCCTTTCAAAGCCGCAGCTAAACTGAAAAAGCAATGCAGCTCAAGAATCACGGCGTCAGGTTAAGGCCGCCGCCGGCAAGCTGTCCCAAGTTAGTCAGGTGGAACATGTTCCACCTTGCACCTCCAGCCCATCCTGCGCGGATGCACTCGAAAAAGCTGGCAAAATCTGTAGAAAGTCAGAGCCCCACTATCGAGCCCTGGTCCTTGGTCAGGACACCACGCCGCGCGTCGAAGCGGGTGCCTTGACCGCACTCCACGTGGTATGCCACAGGAGGGTCAATCTCGGATTCTTCTTGAGCGTTGAGAACGGAGGAGAGTCGAATGTTCCTCGTGGCCCTGCCAACCACCAAACTCAACTCCTGGGCTCGCAAGTCCGTGATAAGGAAACCCTATCCCTAACCTTCCAGGTACTAGTATGGGGTACTAGAGCCCCTAAACCACGGTATAGTAGGTGCCTGGTTAGGGTACTATTTGCTATGGATCTCTATTCTGGTAACTTGAAGGAAATTCCTCAACAAGAACCCAGACTCATTGACCTTGGCCCACTTCCGGGAGGCCTCAGAGACTAAGAAGAGCTCTGTCGGCTCATTGGCAGCCACCAGCACGGTTTCCGTAGACCGTGTCACCACGGTGCAGTTGCCCCCTGCACCATCCAGGCACCCCTTGGCACTCACCTCGGTAGAATGCGATAGACAGTTCATGTGACACACACACACACACCAGAGAAACACATGCAAAGACAGTCATCGTGCAGTATACCGTCTAGAGGATTTGACGGGAGGGTATATTATAGATAGAAATCGCAAAGATGGAGTGGGACACTGCACATTCTACCACCCTATACGGCCGCTGGGACAAACTAAAAGCAGCCTGGAGGCTGTGCACCCAGCAGTGCGGGGAAGAGGTGAGTTGCCGTTCTGCGAGATGGTGCCGAAGTGGTCAATCTGCGCCCAGGGCAAATCTGGGGTGCAGCGGAGCTCGAACTCGCCGAAGGATCCCTGAAACGCCGGAGTGAAGCTCTGATTGGGCTCGGTGAAGGTCAGGGCGCTGGCGCTGCACCTTAAGGACGGAATGTATACCCTACACGGGTTTAGGGTTCAGATACGACGTAGGCATTCATAGCAGGGGAAACAGGGCGCTTACTTTTAAGGATCATTTGGTCCCCAAGGTACGCGAAGTGGACCACTCGAATCTGAAGGTTCGCTGAGGCTCGCGGTGTGATCACATCACCTGGCCGGGCCTTCTTCGTGGTGATCTGGCAGGTGATGGTCTGGGGCTCTGGCGAATTCAGGTCGCCGAAGACCTGCAACAAACAAAAACAACTCAAATCAAACCCTACGACCGTCGGGCTTTAGGGGTTATAGGAGATAGGGTTTAGGGTCAGAAAAAATAGAGTTGCCTAAATTCAACTAACCATCCTTTTTTGTGTCCGGGCGCCTTGCCAGTGCGGCCGTCCATGGTCAAGTTCACTTGGTGCACCAAGCACTGCTCCGTAAGGTAGGCGGCATCCAAGCGCGGTACTGGCAGGAGGGCCACCGCGCTTTTGCCACAGGGGACGTTGAGCGCTGGGTAGGCAAAGGGAGAAGCTCCACGAGCTCCACCCCCACCTTATGATAGGGAGGAAATGTCACCCTTTAGAAGGGTTCGGGGTTCAGATACCCCTCTATATCTATATCTATATCTATATCTATATCTATATCTATATCTATATCTATCTATCTATCTACCTATCTATCTATCTATCTATCTATATATATATATATAGGTAGGATTTCATCGGATTTCAGGGGGGGAGAAGGCCCCTAGATTTAAGGATCAGCTGGTGCCCAAGGCACAGGCACAGCACGCCTCCGTGGCAAGCAGGCCCTTGTTCACGGTGAGGTTCAAGGCATTAGGAACCCTGCCAAGGCTGCACATCCCCGACGTCTCAAAGGCAGCGCAGTTGGAGCCGTCAGCATCTGCCCATGCAACATCGGTGCACAGCTGGCAAATCGTCTGGTTGGATGCAGCTGGTTCACTCGGGACGAAAGGATGGAAGCCGGCGGCACACTGAAGGCAGGAGTCCGTTGAAGGGTCGTAGCGTTCGCATCCGGCGCAGGCCAAACTGCTGAGAGGACAGCACTGCTGATACACTTTGCCCTCATGAAAATCATTCAGGAGAGCATGGTTCCACGGGCAGTTTAGCGGGACGCGGCTCGATTGGAAGCTCTTGTAGTCCGTAAAGGATCCATGCATGTAGTCGATGTTGCCGGACGAAGCATCAAGACCTCCTCCTCCTCGCCCGACGGTGCCACGAGACAGCAGCGAAGCCCGTCCACACTCTGGAGCAGCCTTAGACTTCGTATGACATGACCTCCAACTACAGCACAGCAAACTCAAGCGTGTTGGGAAGCATGACATCTCTTTGTGGGCGCCAGGGTGCAAGGTGAGGCAAGGTTCCTGAGGCCCACCACGGGAGCGAGGTTTCGGAGCGGTTTGGCACCTGGCCTGACTGGAGTACCTCGGAAACCTTTGCTGTCGAGGATGTATGGGCGCGGTGCTGCAGCACGCTTGCCCCAGTCACGGCACACCCCGGAACATCAAAATCCGTCGCGGCGACAGCCGCAAAATCATCAGCAGCGGCTGCAGCTGACAACAAAATTAGCCAAACGCACATGGCTGACAGTCAGAGAATGACGAAAGTAGCAGGTTCACGATGGTCGAAACCTTGAGCACGCAGCTTCGTGAGAGTACGAAGCACTGAAAGCTACACAGCGAATTCCAGTACCATGTAAACCCCGAACTCTAAACCCTGAACATCCGTGTCACTCGCGTCAACACGGAGACAAGCGCCACCTGAAGAACCCAGAGACTCCAATATCCCTGACTTAAGGACTATCTTATATGAGTTCCTATTTTAAGGTATATATTCCTGAAGAATAATGAGGAACATAAATTCTAATATACCTTACTTATAATCTTATGAGAGTTTCGATTATAGACTGAGGTATACTCCTTAATTCAAGGGTGTGGAGTCTCCGGGAGAGTTGGAGGCAATGCGCTGACCAGAGACCCCTGCACTAAGCTCTCAACTTGCATCCAAGCGCTCTCAATTGCAAACGAAGAACCTATAGTCATTGTAGTTCCTTTTCTGAGATACCTTATAGGATTTGCGCAAAAAAAAAACAACTAATCTAGACGATAGGTACTGCGTACTCATGGCACTTTGAAGCAAGGCCGTTCTGCTCACCCAGCAACACAGCCCACAAGAGAGCTGGTTTTGACGAGCAGACACCGAATGCTTGCTGGACATTAAAGAATTACTGGTTCGGAGCGCGCCGTTCAAGTGCGGCAAGCCGCCGCCGTCGGAGCTCTTCCACAGGGACGGCCGGTGCAGGTGGTGATGCAGAGGTCCCACGCAAGCTGAAGCCAGCCACAAGCAAGGCCAGGAGGGTCCAGAAGAGGATTGCAGAGTTATCGACGAGGATATCAATATACACAGCCCAGGCCGAGGGGGTGGGACCGCTGGTGTCGAAGACCAATACAGCGAAAGGTGGCAAATCCACCAGAGCGACACGGCCCCGGACCAATTGAATTTGTCTTGGCCGCTGGTCAGAGAACGGCGTGTTCAGCACAAGAGGCCCAACAACATAGTCTGGAAGCGAGAAAACTCTCACGGGATCAACATAGACGGATTGCCTGTGGGGGGAGGGGTTGCGCAGGGTCAGTATTGCGGATGTCTTCTGCGTGCTCCCATGCCAAGCGGCCCAACCATATACCTCGCCCTTGGAGGGATCCCCTCCGAACCACTGAACATCAGCGAGAGTCTGGATTCGATCGCTGGCCCACTTAGCTGCTTCTGCAACATCGTCCCAGTTCTCGCGATTCAGTAAGCTGGGTGTCACATACAGCTCTTGCAGCATCACGCCAGATCCAAAAGCTGACCTGACCTTAAGGACGACATGCACCCTAGAAGGGTTTAGGGTTCAGATAAAATAGGAATTCATAACACAGGGGAAAAAGACCCTTACTCTTAAACGGATCATTGGGTCCCAAGAAACTTCATGCTTGAAGGGCTCGTTCGACATTCCTGGTCCCGCGCCCTCGAGCTGATTCAGGTCCCAGGCATCCTTCGCAAAAACGATTCCATGAACCATCAATGAGCTCAGAGGGAACAAGGGTGACTGCGTCACAACATTTGCCTGGGTTGCTGCTCAGGAACTTAAATTCAGTTAGTATAGCAAGGAAACCCTCTTATGTACTATATCTATATGCACACATATACACACCCATTGTGGTCAATTAAGCTAACTAAAGTTCCTTAACAGCAGCCCTAAACCCTGAACCCAGTTGCATAGACCATTGCATCGCGGTATGTTATCCAACGTTCGCGCGCGGGCCCCTTGCCTTCGAAGTAGTGGTCATGGCCCCTTCTCCACACCTAGCTTCATGGTTGGTTTAGGGTTCAGGGTTTAGGGTTGGGATACTGTTAAAATGTAAGTTGCTATTCCATAAGTAGCCACAAACATGTACAGTGTTACCCAACTATGACAAAGAGACAGTGTCTGAATAAAGGAGCCAGAAAGGAGACGGCCACGTCCCTGTTGACAGATTGATGAAGACATGGCTACTGATCTTCCGCAGCTCCGCTATGAGGCTCACGGCTGCATCGAAGTCTTCCTGGGTTCTTGTTAGGGGATTTACTTTACGTTACCATAATAAGGAAACTATAGTATTTACTATAGATCCCCATTATGGAACAAAAAAAGTCACTTAACAAGAACCCAGCTTCTTCCAAAGTTTGGTCAAGACCGGCTGGGTTCCCGATACCATCAAGCTTCAAGAGTTTCGCGCCCCCACGCAACCTGGGCTGTTCAGTAACCCACTAAAGAAAAGTACATACGTAGATTTTGGGGACGAGTTATTATATTATAAAGCTAGGAACCAGAAACAAAAAGGCAAAAAGGATACGACTGAACATCCTGGCCACCATGTCCAAATCTGATCGCGCAAGTGTAGGTAGTACTCCTTGATCCCCAGTCCTAAAAAGGCAGAGTGTGCTCCTGGATCGAAGCAGACTCGAATGTCCTCAGGCGTTCTCTATTCAGGAACCCCCCCCCAAAACAAAAAAAGAACCCCCAAAACATAATTTCGGGGGCCTTAATGAATCGAATAAGGTGTTGGGGTATATCATACTATACTTATAGTTGATAAGGAGCCCCGAAATAGAATTGGTAATTATGTAGGCTGCTATAGTCGGATCAGTCTCATAAGCACCTCTAAAGAGGGACACGAAGTGTATGAAACCCACAACCACTAGTGTGAGCTCTAGGCAGTCTAGGGTCTGAAACCCTAAACCCTAAAGAATCTACAAAACCCTAAACCCTAAACCCCTAAACCCTCAGTTTCGATTTGAGGCCGGCTTTGGGAATTTGTCGGGAAGCAACGATCGGAGCACCTCGTGGTGAAATACAGGCCCATGTTACCGAGGTACATTCCTGCCCTAAACCCAAAACCTAACACCCAAAACCCTGAACCCTAAACCCTAAAAATGGATCTTTGCTCCAAGCTTCAACTCCAATAAGCCGAAACCTTCAAGAAATCCCTGGTTTAGGGCATCCCTAACCCCCACCCCCCAAAAAAAAGTAGGTGAAATAATGGCCCAAGACCTACAAAGGGCGATTATTCCAGATACTTTTGGGGTCCAGGCAGGGCTTGTAGGGACCCTAAACTTAAAACCCTTTTTGATTCTAACGCCCGAAAGCTCCCTCCATCTTCGAGAGTCGGAGCCAGAAATGCCCGAGAGGTCCACCCCCGGCGGGCTGATGGCGAGAGTGGTGTGCCAGCACTCGAGCTGCCCCAGACAATCCTGATCTTCAGGAGGCCAGCTGACGAAAATCGGGGTTTAGGGGTTTAGGACTTGAGAGGGGTCTTATGAGGGCGTTTTAGGGCATGTGAAGGCTTGGGAGAATGGCCCTTGATTAACTCTTACTTCATTCTCCTACAGTTACAAGTGGAAGTAGCACCTCAATACAAACCAGGCTCATGATTGCTGCCGCATCTGCCCTCCCCTTCCTCGCAGGGCGATGCCTGCGTGCAGCCGCCTGCGGGGTGAAGCTCAGGGATTCTGAAAGCAATGGGTAGTTGTTACCTTACTTATAACCCCACTTATGTCCATGCAATCAAAATCAATCCGCTTGAAATCTGATGCAATGTCTTCCCGCAACATCCCTACAGAAGCCCTGCAGCGCACGTCGTCTTACACGTCCTATTGCTAGCACAACTACATCGAAAAAATAACAAAAATACTCATATACTCATATATAATACTGCAGCCAATAACTGTTAAATAACTACAACACGGAGCGGGCAGGGCGGGCGGAGCTCCTGGGCGAAGCACTGCCGACTTCCTCTCACGCGTCTCCTCCCGCACGGCAATGCCCGCCCTCCGGGCAGCGAGGACACGCCGCTGCCTGGCAATGGACGGCTGGGACTCAGCGATCTATTTAGGGTTTAGGGTTTAGTAACTTAGGGTTTAGGGTTCAGGTATGATCTACATGGCGTGCTGCATCAAAATACGAGATTCTGTGAGGTTGCAAGTCGTGCAGTCGTGCCTCGCTTCATGATAGCCACCGAAAGGCGAAAACCAGAGGCCCAGGGAGGTCTTCCAGTGTGCCGCGCGGTCTTCCAGCTGCTTCAGGTCACGAAAGCCTTCGTGGGCGTTCCACGGCCCACTGTCCGGGTCGTCCCAGCCATCATCCAGCAGGAAAGAGTCTAGCATGACTCCTCGTCGTGACAGCTCCCTCGCGATGTGATCCAGCCGGTTTATTGCCTGCTTAGCATCGAACTGTTGGCCTGTTCCGATATCATACCAGCTGTTGTAGTGAAGCATCTTCCTTGAGGGATGAGCACGCTCTCGCTCCAAGTAATGCAAGAAGGATCGCCGTACCTGGCCTGGCACCGTCACACCCAGAACCAAAGCTGCGTGCGGGCCGTGCTCCTTTATCTTCGCAGTATGCTGTTTTAAGCAGCATCGATAGTCTCCGGCCTTGGCGGAGTTCAGGCCCTGGGGGTGCTCGAGACCAAAGAAGAAGTCATCTGAAGTAATGGGGACACCATCAACCTTCCCCGCCACGGAGCTGCCCGGCAGGTTGCCAGAGAGCAGACATAACTCCGCCTCTGCCTCCGGATCCCCGTCAGCGCTCTTCTCGTCTGCGCTCCGCCCTCTGTAGCTCAGCTGTGCAGAGAGCTTCAGGTAGTTGGAGCCGTCCCGGAGCTCCGCCGACCAAACTGCCATCCAGGGAGCTGAAAGCGATTCCAAAACGGCAGTGACAGCCCATCCCGGCATGGTCAAAGCCATTTGGGATGCATTTGCCTGGGCTTCGATCCTGCTCAGGTTCATGCCGACTACCCGAAAGTCCGTCATTTCCTGGCTTCGGCCGGGAAGACTGGCAAGAAGAACATCTGCAGGAGGCATCCTGGGTTGCTGTTATAAGGAACTTAAGAAAACTTGCTAGACCAAGGAAGCCCCATTATTTACGATATATCCCAGGACCAGGATGGTAACTTAAAAATAAGTTCCTTCAGCAGCAACCCTATAACCTTGCTTACTAAGTTACTAAGTGCCCTAAATCCGAACCCCCCCTTATTATTGAACCCCGCAGGGCCCTATAGCCCAGCATCTCTCGTCCAGACATCTTGTTTCTCAGCCGTATCGGCTGGAGAAGTCCATCGGCGCCTGGGCCTGGGATCTGCGCCTCCAAGACGGCATTCTGCAGTCTGAAGCTCCATTCCTCAGGGGCTGAGCGCCCAAGCTAAACAAGGTTAGGGTTTAGGGTTCAGGGTTTAGGGGTTTAGGTTTCGGGTTTAGGTTTATAGGGTTTAGGGTTTAGGCTTAGGGTTTAGGTTTAGGGTTTAGGTTTAGGGTTTAGGGGTTTAGAGTTTAGGGTCTGGCCAAAAAAAGGTTAACCATCTCAAGAATGTTAGTGTAGGATTATGTAAACCCCAAAAGCTTAAGGGTTACCTGCTCAGCTACTGCTAAATTACGACTACGAACCCTTCGAAACTCTTATAGAACCCTTGTAGAACGCTTTGTGTACTACCCCAAAAACCTTGCTACCCTAAGCCCTAAGCCCTAAACAGGCCTAAACCCTATAAACCCTAAACCCTATGGGTCTACTGAGGGAAGGAAGGACAAAACCTCACATAGACTCTAAGGTCTATAAACTCTAATCCCTAAACCCTAAACCCTAAACCCTATGAACTCTAAACCCGATACCGCAAACCCTATAAACTCTAAGCCCTAAACCCTAAACATTCTAAACCCTAAACACTACAAACTCCAAAGACTCTAAATCCTACACCCGAAGCCCTAAATCCCATAAGCTCTAAACCCTAAACCCTATAAACTCAAAACCCTAAACCCTATAAACTCCGATCCCTAAACTCTCAGCGCTAAATCAAATAAACTCTAGACTCAGACTCTGAACCCTAAACCCGACGAAGACTCCTCGAGCTCGGAGCCCTCGGAGGGCCCGGGCTGCAGATCGGAGGCCGAGGGAAGCGCAGCGAGGCCAAAGCCCAGGCATCGGAAGAGCAGGCAGACCTAAGCTTAGGGTTTAGGGTTTAGGTTTTTTTGTTTTAAAGGCTTTTAGGGTTTAGGGGTTTAGGGTTTAGGGGTTTAGGGTTTGGGGGTTTGGGGGTTTAGGGGTTAAGGTTTAGGGTTTGGGGTTTAGGGGTTTAGGGTTGAGGGTTTGCCAGCACCCCCAAGTACCTTTAATAGAGCCCTTATGGTCCTTAATAGTGGGTGTTTGGGGTAGAATAGAGGGTAGTTGGGG